GTGGTAGAGTTCGGCCCCCGAACCCTTTATTTGCAGAGCCGTCTGTCTGGAAGTAAGTTAAGGGTATTGACGTGTGATGAACGCATGACAAGCATGACAATCACGGCTTCAGCCCTCGTAGCATGTGCAGCATGCATGCTAGGTACATGACAAAGAACATGGAAGCCGCGAAGGACGGTTGTCTCGATGCACTGCGGGCAGGGAACAAGGATTAAGAACAGTGGGTCGCTGGTGCAGTGCTCGAAGGATGCGTTAGCTGACATGCCACCTCGCGATGAGTCGGAGCTCGACCCAGTTACACTCCACAACCAGGCCCTCATCGTGCGAGACTCAGATTTTAGTCTGCCCGCTGTCGCTGTGCCACTGAGAGATGAGAAGGCTACAGCTGGTGTCTGGGAATCTGCCCGAAGAATCGAACGCGATCACCTGCCAAGGAGATGGACGAGAAGCCGACCGAAGGCTTCCGCAAGCTTAACTTTCTGCTTAACCAGCAGCCATCGCCACCAGCACTTCGGCGATTGTTACTGCAAGGAGTACCGTAGTGTGGGCGTGCAGAAAGCCTGGACTTGTGCTAGTGCCGATTTGCGGAAGTGCGATGTTGTTCCTACACGTGCTTTTGCGTTGTGCATCTAAGGAGACTTTTGTAAACCTGCTCCTGCTGTATTGCAAGTACAGCTTCCCGGATATCAACATGCCATGACTTGGTATGCTGTCAACGGTCAAGCTTGCAGCGAACCCTGTGCAAACACGCTGAAGGTTACTATGACCTAGCCGCTGACATTCTGGCAGAGAATGCTGAGTTGACCTACAAGAATATGAAGCCTGAGGATTACGCATCTCAGCTTGAAGGCCTTAGCTGTGAGGCTAGTTTTTTCTGGAGATGCAGACTTGTCGCAACTTCAAAAACTGCATTTGCTATTCGGCTTCAAGGAGTTTTTGGATGCGCTGATATTGGGCCAGTCTTCACCTGAAGAAGCGTACCGGCGCTTCGATGAGCTGTCTGCAAAGCACGTGGAGATGTTGCGGAAAGGACTTTCGGGGGATGTAGCAGGCAATGCGCCAAATCATTTTCAGTGTCGATACCTTGCAATTCTTGCTCCTCCACACTGCGCGGCAGCTGCCAACATAGCCGATTTCAAACCTTTTTAGACTTCAGGGAGCTACGACCGAAGCATACTGAAACCCTACGTAGTTTGGAGTTACCATGCAGACACCACAGGACGAGAGCTGCAGAGCTCTTTCGGTAGATGGGTGTGCATTCTGTCTACAGACAGTGTGTGGTCAGTTTGAGTTTTCTGCTGCCAGGAACTAAAAACATCCAGGACGCAAGGAGGCAGCGGGATCAAACGCAGGCCTGAGTCTCAGACAGTTCGAAGGTTTTGGCATTAGTTGACCTTGGTCTATGGGGAGGTCGACTTTCAGCATCACTCAGTATTTGGAGCCTTGGTTGGCTTGCAGCCTGGGGTTAAAGGAGTAAGGGGTTGAAGCTGCGAAGCTGCCGTTCAGAGGGACACATTGACACCAACGAGTATTGACAGGCTCTCGAACTGCTTGCAGATGATGGACCTTTGTTCGAACAGTTGTACCTAAATTTCGGGCTTTTGCAGCAATTTAAAACCCAAAACAAAACATAACAATATAGCGCAAAGAAAACTCCGATGTTTTGAGCCAAGACTGTGGCCACAGATAACCATTATGTGCTGTTTGTTTTGAGCGCTAGATCGTAGCCTTTGCTGCATGGGCCCGAACCTATGCTCCGTGAAGCAAGCCATTCTGCTTGAGCACGGGTTGAGGTGAAGAAGTACCTAGCCGAGTTCGATGATGCGCTGGCGAAGTACATACCGGCACATGTGGCTGAATTCCAGTAACCTGTAAGGGATCGTTGAACTGCCCAGAGATGGGCACGACATTGTCGAGCTTCAACTGCCGCAATGCCTTACGAAGTCTCCTCCGCATCCATCGACTGAAGATAGACCGCCCATCAACAGCAAGGGATCTGGGCAGCTGAGGTGCTCATGGGCCAGGCCAAGATCTATTGGGAGTTGGAGAATTACTCCATGGTGGAGCCTGGGCCACATCTCCCGGCAAGCACTCGTCTAGCCCAGCTCTTGTCATGAACCCCATAGCATGTTTCAGCTCTCAAGTTACAACCACGTACGATCCAGGAAAAAATCTTCCGCCAGTCTGCTGAATTCTGCAGTGAAGATGAGTCCTGGAAGCTGCCCATCGGCTGCAGTAGTGTTGCGTGCATTGCTTTTCTCATCGAAGCGCAGGGCAGAGACCTTGAGCCAAGGAACGTGGCCCACATCTTCTTCATGCAGGAAAAATTCAAGGAGTGCATCCGCTACTATGAGCCGTTCGTGCGAAAGCACAACGACGACCTGTTGAACGTGACAGCGATCATCCTCGCCAATCTTTGCGTGGCGTATGCTCCTCGCTGTCATCTTTATCGGCTGAACTCACATCCCCGGTCCCCAGAGACCGCAGAAATGGATGAAGCCCTCCAGGGGCCAGCCTTCACATGCACTGCCCCCATTGGAAGCATACTGAGGTCATGACCTCGGCTAACGAGGAGGCCGAGGAACTGATGAGACTGGTCGAGCGTGAGGACCGGGGTGGGCGGCAGAGCAAGAAGCAGACAGCTTGTGTGTCGGGCGGCCCAAGTCAAGTCTTGCGGGACTTGCCACACTGTGGAGCCGGAAGTTTGTCAAGTGAGGTCGCACTAGCAGGGCAGCATCATGTGAATCATATGTGCTCGGCCTAGAGTTGTTTTTTGCATCAGGAGGAGAAGGTGAAGGACCCGTCGAAACCGGCAGCTCGGCCAAGCATATTTCGTGTCCTTGATGCCCCTCTTCCACCACGACTGAATACCTTGTGAGATCTTCTGAGTCACTGTATTGCCATTCAGCTACTGGCTCAGGTCTACCACCTGTGCATTATCAATTTGGCGGATGGCTCAGACAGCACACATCACCGTTAAGCTCGAAAAATAAGCTTCAGGCGAGAGGACCGCATTTGCCCCGTGTCCAGGTGATTGGAACGCTCTACTGCACGAAGGGCAACTTTGAGTTCGGTATCAGCCGAATCATCAAGTCCCTGGCACCTTGCTGAGCAGGGAAGCGGCAAAGTAGGCTTTGATGTAGGGACGAAAAGGTAGCAGCCGGTAGTGCCCGATGATGCATGCAGGAGCCGTACGACAAAAAGATCGGCGTCGACACCTGGCTCCCGAGCTGAGTTAGATTGGTGTCAGCATACCCCCTCGCGCTTTGCATGGATGTTCGGTCGGTTTCTTTATTCCTCTAGCTCGGTGTTGGGTGTTGTACCGGTGATGCTGAACCCCAGGTACTATGCAAAGCGATGTATGCTGGCTCTTGCGGAGACGCTGGCGAAGAACATGGTCGTGTTGGGGGCTGAGAGAACACGCGGTGAGCTGCTCGTATGCACAGCCTCGTCTGACGAGGCTCAACGACGAAGTCTTCGACGACATCATAGCCTTCCTAGATTCAGCAGATCAAGTTGGAAAAAACATCGGCACCACCATCAATGTGGTCGAGGCCACAAAAGTTCATGCACATTGTCGCTGTGCGGAAGGGTGAGGGTTTAGGGCTTCAGCTTGATCTGCCAGGAGTCCCTGGAAGGATGTTTGAAGCAAATGCTAGGTTCCATAAGCCACTAGACGTGGGCAGACGCGAAACTGCAAGGCCGCTAATGAAGATGCAGCGAGCAAGCGCACAGTTTCGCAAGAAGCACGAATGATCAAGCGTGGCTTGGACATATTCATGCACGTCTTTTTTGGCGACCGCAGGGGCTGGCATATGTCTCGTGACGTCCCATGCGAAGGTTGTGTCCACATTCTTCCATTACTTGACATGTGTCTGGGAGCTCGCCCGAGGCTTCTTCCTGAAACTCAGGGACTGATGCTCAAGGTGGTCTCCTCCTCTGAGGGCGCCAGCGATTCGAGAGGCTCCCGATGAAGCTTTCAGTTTGATGGGTTCTCCTGTATTGATCGTGCATGCTCGCAGACTTGAAGACAGCTGCAGCCTTTTCTGCCAGCCTGGCAGGGTCGCCGCGGACCTCTGAGCCTGGGGTATTTCCGGTTTCACCACAAATACGCAAAGCTAACGAGGAAGCGCCACGCACGGTCCAGCAGACGCCTACATCGCACAGCCACGGGACCAGCCTGGGTATCATCCGCAGTCACGGAACACAGACAAGGAGATGTTTCACCACAGTTACGGGTATGTGCAGCTTCCGGGAGATGGGCCACGACTTTGACAGGAACAATCCACGACGCGCTGCCAGACAATCGGCATGCATAAAGGTTGTTTCAAGACAGTGTAGCTAACTATCGTTCCACGAAATGCTCTGCATAAAATGGTCGACGGTTCACACGCAGCAGGAAAAACTATCATCTTGGATTGGTAATTTTCCAGTCTCCCGGCGCCCGTTCCACCACACCGTTCATGGTGCTGTGTGGGAGTGATCTCCAAGCACTTCGAGTGTATAAAGCACGAGGGTCCACTCCCACTCACCCCAGAACAGCTGGGCCATGAAATTATTCGAAGGGAGCCGGGACCACAAATCCTACTTTGCTGACCCAGTGTGAGAGGTGTCTGATGTTCGCACCATCCCATATTGCCTTGTGCTGTTCTTGGCATCCTTGTCGTTAATGGTCGCCACCGCTCGTCCGCCGTGCTTCCACGGCCGCCTCTACAGTATGCCGCAAGTTGCATGGCCTAGAGACTAGAGGTAACATGCGGTTCTTCGGTAGCATCAGCGGCGAAGCGGCATATTGCACTATCTGCCGAATTCGAGAAATTTACCCCGAAGCTACCTTGGTGAGCAGAGTTCACATGTCATTGGAGGACGTGTCATTGCCTGTCGTGCTTGGAAAGTCTTATGGGGCTTATGTCGAATTAGACAAGCACTCTCGCAATCTCGCGTGCATGTTGCGGAAAATTCGGTGCTTGCCGGACCGGGAACTTGAAGTCAGTTGAAGTTACACGTTGTTTGCAGTACAAAGTAGGTAGTTACACGTATGTA